CGTTGGTTTTTTAATAGTGGGGGGGGGGGGGGCGAAAAAAAATTTCTGCCCCGGGCGCCCAGAACTCTGGTTACGCCACTGCTGGATACTGATTCACCTTTCCACAAAACACGTTGCAATTTTTTCTTCCACAAATGCAGAAAACTTTGTTTCCCGTTTATGATTATGTGATAATTGATGATGTTGTTATTGTTTTTAAACATGCTGGAAGGTGTCCAATTCTTATCTCTATGTCGGCTGCACAGTATCGTGTATATATACAGTCCAGTGTTTGTATGCAATACTCAAATCGAAAACATAACATGCCAAAGTTGTGCCATATATTGTCAGCCCGACCTTTTACTTCCTAAGCCTAAAGTCCGAATAAAGAAGAAAGTTACATTTTTTAGCAGAACTGGTGAGGTTTCCCTGTCTACGGTCAGTTTTAGGGTGTGAGAGATTGACAGAATCCATTGTCTATTGGACAAGACACTGTGGCTTCAGAGCATGAGCCATCAATGAAAGCAGAGAGTTAGCGTGATACCTTTTATTGGTTAACTCGTGATTTGAAACTGTAAGCTTTTCAAACCTATTTCAAAAGTTTAAAGTTAAAAAAAAAACTACTGTTTAGCACCGTTTTCTCTCGACAGAACACGGAATAGGTTATAACTCATAATTCACTAGTTCTGTGATGCTGAAAGAATTGCGGAATTCTCCTGAATCTCCAAGCGGCCGTGTCATTTAGCCTGGCACAGAATTCAGTGATGTTATCCAGCTCTATACTGTGTTAAATACATTTTCTCATGTATTTGATTTCATTTGTATTCTGGTGTTTATGCAGCTGGATCCTGCACTGATCATGAGCTGATAACCCTATATTATTATTTTGTGGTTCTAGAGCTGCGAATTAGGCGCCAGAATTCTTCTGATAGCATCTCCAGCCTAAATAGCATTTCCAGTTACTGCAGTGCCGGAAGTATCAAGGATATTGAGGCCAAAAAGAAGAAGAAAAAGAGTTGGGTAAGTTGCTTCTTGAGACAACATATAGAGAATATAAAACATGTCGAGAGAAAACAAATATTTGATGCCATCAAAACATACACTATATTGCCAAAAGTATTGGGACACCCCTCCAGATCATTGGATTCAGGTGTTCCGTGAAATTTCCTTTCTACTAAATATTCCACGGTCAACTGTTAGTGGTATTATAACAAAGTGTAAGCAACTGGTATTATAACAAAGTGTAAGCAACTGGGAACAGCAGCAACTCAGCCACGAAGTTGTAGGCCACGTAAAATGTCAGATCGGGGTCAGCGCATGCTGAAGCGCACAGTGCGCAGAAGTCGCCAACTGTCTGCAGAGTCAGTAGCTACAGATTGGCACAACAACACTGCGTAGAGAGCTTCATGGAATGGGTTTCCATGGCCGAGCAGCTGCATCCAAGCCTTACATCACAAAGTGCAATGCAAAGCGTCGAATGCAGTGGTGTAAAGCACGCCACCACTGGACTCTAGAGAAGTGGAGATGTGTTCTCTGGAGTGACGAATCA